CTTAGTATTGCCTGTCCAAAAGCTGAAAGAGACCTCAGGCCCTCTTGCAAAGGCAAAGAAGAACTGCTGAAGCTCAAAGAACACAGAGGAGGCATTCTTGCAGAGGTCCTGAGCCTGTGCACAGCTGCTGTGGCAGTGCCATGTGCCCTATCCACTCCTGTGTAAAACTCAGACAAAACCAAGCTGTTTGAAACCTGACATGTTTGTTCAGAAGCACAGATATTTTAAGCACCATTTCCTAATCATGGAAATCCAAACCTATTTTCTCCTCAATTGAGATTATTGTTGTGTTTCTTAAAAATATTTTTAGTTGCAATGTGTACCAAAATGTTTTGCTGAGCAAGTTTTGTGTGAGTTGAAAGGTGCCAATGATGATTTCTTTTCAAAAGGACTGTCCAAAAGTGTCACCAAAAATAAAACATGAAACAAGTTTCCCAAGTGTCATTGCAAACAACAACATTAATTTGAGAGCTGGCAAGAGTGACAACAGTGTGGTTAGTTGTCATGGGGTAGAGGATCTGAACCAGTGCCTGGATCTTATTCATAGGGAAAAAGTCCTTCCTCTCCCCATTATCTTTCTGTTATTTGAATAGCTTTCAATAATGAGCCAAGTAAGATGTTCAGAAGACAGGAAAGAAATATTGATTGTGGTTGAATAAACAAAGAAGCAGTGTCTTCCTCCTGAAAAGCAAGCTGCCAGTCCCTTAGGACTAGAGGCAGGTCTTAGGCAAGCAGTCCCTCCAGCAGATCCTGGGGGAGGGAAGGAACCCAGGGACACCATGCCCTCTCATACATTAAAGGTATCTTCTCTGGAGAGCACAGGGCAAGGAGGTATCACCTACCTGATGCTCCGCACACTGTGTGCAAAAGGTAAAATGCCTGGTGTATTTACAATTATGAATGGCCTGGACAGCTGATTTGCAGAATCCTTTAGACTGTTAAGCCTTCTCTATAGCAAACAGTTGTTTTCCAGGATGAATTCTCCCAGTGGCTTTTCACAGGCTGTGCAAAGGAGTCCCCAGCACACAGCCAGAGAGGCACTTGTTGAGATGCTGCTGTGCAGCATTTTTGTGAATATGGTTGGGTGTCTATGGGATGGAGTTGTGGTGTAGGATGGATTATGCCCCTACATGGCATACACATACAGGCACCTGCAGTGTGTACTTGGGGCACGAGTGCTCTGGGATTCCAGTGTGCAGGTGCACAAGCACCTGTGCAGAAGGATATCCTGCTGCTGCGTATCAGCAAAGCCTGTTGGCACGTGTGCAGCTTGCAGGAACAGCCTCTGGAGTGACTGCACCATTTTGTCAGAGAGGCTGTGTGTGGCACCAGCAGCACAGCTGCACGAGGAGTGTCTGATAGGCAGAAACTTACTCATCACCTCTGTTTTCCTGCACTGGCTGTTCCTCTCCTTCCCTCTGCCCCAGCCCCACAACCCCCTTCTGTCTCCCCTCTCTAAAGATCTGACAGCACTGAAAGCTTTCTTGCAATTTTATTATGAACAGCAGGGGTTTAGCTGGGTATTCTTCAATGCCTCACTGTCTTCTCCACCCTGATGCCAAACATGACATGAAAACATCCAGCAGGTTCTGACACATAGAGAGGGATGGAACCAGTATGGCTGAATGATGCTTGTTCCCTCAGATTTATTGCAGTCTTGTCCCATTTTTCCCACAAGAGCCCAGCCAGGTGAAGGGAGGGGTGGCAGTGCTGACCTGTGTGTTGCCCCAGCCACTCCAGCTGTGCATGCCCATGGCCCTGGTACACCATCCTTGCCTGGCATCTCTGCACACTCACTCCTTGGTGACTGATGGGTCTCCCAAGAGCTAAGGGGACACTCCATCCCTACCAAGCACTGCCACCCGCCTCCAAAGGATGCTGGATGTCAGTGAGGGAGTGCCCAGCCATGAGGGTTCCCCTTCTCCTGAAGGCCATCACCCCAGCCTGTGTCCTGAATGCCCGTGTCCTCGCACGCAAAGTCCTTCTCTCTCGGTCCATTAGTTTGTTTCCATGGCCAGTGGCAGGCACACGACTCTGAAAGCTGTATTAAAAGCCAGGTCAATATCAGCCCCTGCTTATTCCCTCAGGGGAAAATAAGTAAATAATGAAAGGAGAGGGTGACTTCATTGCCTAAACCAGCATACTCTTGAATTTAGTGCTGAGAGAGGCAGCCCAGCTCCCAAGCAGGGGGCATGGGAGCTCTGAGGAGGGGCAGCTCTGCCTCAGCACCAGCTGAACCAGGAGGGATGGGGGCCACTCAAAATCCAGTGAATCCATCATTTCAGTGAAGGCTTTGAGGCAAACCGCTCTGGCAGATGGGCTCTGGAGCCGAGGATCACTACATGAGCGAGGTAGAGGCTGAGGTATTCAATGCCTTCTTTGCCTCAGTCTTTAATAGTGAGACCAGTTGTCCTCAGGGTACTCAGTCCCCTGAGCTGGAAGACAGGGACAGGGAGCACAACGGGGCCCCATAATGCAGGAGGGAATGCTCAGTGACCTCTTGCTACACCACTTAGACACTCCCAAGTCTGTGGGGCTGGATGGGATCCACCCAAGAACACTGAGAAAGCTGGTGGAAGAACTCACCAAGGTACTTCTCATCATTTATCAGCAGTCCTGGCTAGCCAGCCAGAGAGGCCCCAGGTGACTGGAGGTTGGCCACTGCAACACCCACCTCCAAAAAGGGCTGGAGGGAGAATCTGTGGAACTACAGGCCTGTCAACCTGACCTCAGTGCCAGGAAAGTTCATGGAACAATTCACCTTGCTATCATACAGAACATGTAGCACAACTGAGGAATCGGGCCCAGCCAGCATGGGTTTGGGAAAGGCAGGTCCTGCCTGAGCAACGTGATCTCCTCCTATGGCAAAGGGACCATGGACGGGGCAATGGATGAGGGCAAGACTGTGGATGATGTCTACCTACACTTCTGTAAAGCCTTTGACATTGTCTCTCAAAGCATTTGTCCTGGAGAAATTGGCTGCTGGAGGAATTAAATGGATGCACTGTTCATTGGGTAGAAAACCGGCTCCATGGCTGGGCCCAGAGAAGGTTGGGGAATGGAATTATTCCGGGGAATGGAATTATTCCAGTGAATGGAGCAAACCCAGGCAGGACAGCTGTTCCCCCACAAAACTACATCCTAGGGTGAGAAGTGACCGTGTCTGGGCCTAGACATATCTTGTGAGTCTATTTATGCTCTTTCTCAAATGCACTTCCATATAACCTCACTTTCTCTTCCTCTTTTCCCCTTCCTTCTCCACCATCTGCCTGCTGTGTCTGCTTCTTCCTCTCAGTCCTGCTATTTCGTTCCTTGCCCTTCTGCTTCTTCCCCTCTTCCTTTTGCTTCTTGAACCAATTCCAAAATGATATTGAGAGGCTTTTTTTATGCTTTGTAGATCAGGGATTATGTGGGACATAACTTCTCCAGCCATTCTCCTCCACAGCACAGCTATTGGGTGCCCAGAGCAGCTTCCTGTGGATCCTGTTTGTTGTTCTGTCCTCATCTCATCTGCACTTTTGAAAGGATGATTCTGCTGCTCCTGAGGGAAGATGCTCATCAAGTTTTCACCTCTTGTGAAATGACAACAAAAGTGATGTTACAGGTCTAGCTTTGGTTGATGTCCTCCCTCATTCTCCCTCCACTTGCCTGTAGCAAAAAGAGAGGCTTTGGGTTTTTTCATGGGGTTTTTGAATCTAGAGCAATGTCTTGCACATCTCTGCCTCTTCACCAAGTATATCTATAAGCCTTCCCTGGGCAAAACTCTCGTTATCTCCAAAACAAACAGTATTGCTTGACTCATCCTACTGGTAATTTTAGGGCAGATTATTCCCTCCGTACACACATTTGTATGACCTTCTCCCTGAGCAAATTCTCTGAGCCTCTCATTATAGGTCTTTATCAGAGAGGCCCAGAACAAGAGAGCTTTCATGGTGGAGCTTCCAGGGTCCAATGCCGTACAAATAACAAACACCAGCCCTAGTAACCCTCATCAGTCTCTATACCAGGCTTGTAGTCTGTCCTTTGCTTCCAAACCTCCCCTTGGGATATTAGACTTTATTAAAAATAAATAGTTACAAATTCTGTTTTACAGCTGATGGCATCAGGGAGAAGAATGGAGGAGGCAAAAGGAGCGAGTGGAGGGTCTGCTGTCCAGTCAGGTCACCTGTCTGTCATCCCGGCTGTGTGTGCCAGGGAGCAGTCTGAGTGTGGTAAGCACAGAGCCCTGCCTCCTCCGCCAGGTATCTCAGGAGAGGAGCAGGACATGTTTTTCAAGAGGACTGGGAGAACTGGATTTGAGTCCATGGAGCCGAACTGCTTCTGGAGGTGTCAGACACCAAAAGCCAAGGAGAGTGTAGAGCAGCCTATGTAGAACGTCTTTGTCTCCTAGCTTGGCGTTTGCAGTGGAAGAACATCGATTTCAGTTCTCCTTCTCTTTTATATACAGAATCATGTGCAACAAGCAACAAACATGCAAGTAAACTCCTCCCTTGAGATCCTTCCCCACTCCCTCCAGGAGTCCCAAACTCTCCCTTCTATCCTCATCTGGTCAGTGCTTAGGTGTCACTCCTCTCCCAGTGATGGCGATGACCCTTGACAGCCATGGGGCCTACCCATAGTGTGAGGGGACAGAAAGTCTGCTGTTGCCTCAGCAGCAGAAACACTTGCTGTGGGTCCCAATCTGTCCACTGAAGGCAGGGACTTCTGTCACCTTTCCAGAGACAAGAAACCAGGCCTGCTGCTCTCCTGTCTCTGGGCAGGAAAGGGGTTCTAGCCCAAGCTGCATACCCGGAAAGACTAGTGTATCCTCACTCCTCTCCCAGGCAGTATGACCTTATGAGAAAGGGAGTATATCAGAGCAGCTCCAGGCCTTGGTGTATTTGGGGGCTGAGAGGCAATCATGGGAGACATTATTTGGTGGTGAAGGGACTTATCCAGTGTATGGGTACGGAACAGAGGAGACTGTGGCCAATGGGTGCAGAATGGGGAGGCTGGAGGAGTTAGATGGCTGACTCCCTGCGGTATGAGATTGTATCTAGAGGCAGAGTTGCCTGGAGCCGCTCCAGGTCCAGGTGGCTTCCAAAATCCATCATCTGGATGATACCTCCCTCCTCCTTGGTGTTGCCCCCTAACACCACACCCACTTCATCATCATCTTCATCTTCATCTTGACTGACAAGTGCCAGCTCATTCTCATAGCAGAAGGCACTGGGAGGTGGTGGAGAAGGTAGGATGGTCATCTTGCTTTCTTGCAGCTCCCGGGCTGAGCAGCAAGGTGTGCCAGCTACCTCGTACGTCTTGTGAAAGCGTGAGTAATCCACTTTGTAGTGGTTCTTCTCCTCAAACACAACTGGTTCAAAGCGATGACCCCAAAGGATTTCGCTAGCAAGGTAAGAACTTCGTGCCTGTGTGGTCATGGCTGTGGCTTCCACCATCCCCTCCAGAATAACCACAATCTCAAAGTTCTCCGTCTCCAGCTCTTCCTTGCCAATCCCATAGAGGGGGCTCTCCTCATCAATCTCATGAACGATAATAATGGGTGAGACCAAAAATATACGATCAAGACCCACATCGTAGCCCACATTTAGGTCCCGCTGGTCCAGGGGGAGGTATTCCCCTTCCTCCGTCATGTAGGGCTTGATGAGCTGGGCTCGGACATGGGCCTCCACGATGTGACTCCTCCTCAGGTTGCCCACCCTCCACATGAGACACAGTTTGCCATCCCGGACGGAGATGACCGCATGATGGCTGAAGAGGAGGGTCTGGGCCCGCTTCTTGGGCCTTGCCATCTTGGCCATAATAGTGCCAATCATGAAGGAGTCAATCACGCAGCCCACGATGGACTGCACCACAACTGCCATGATAGCCAGCGGGCACTCCTCAGTCACGCAGCGGAAGCCGTACCCGATGGTTGTCTGTGTCTCCACCGAGAAAAGAAAAGCCCCCAGGAAGCTGTTCACGTGCATGATGCAGGGCTTGAGGAGAGAGGGACTACCTGCCACCACCGGTGCGTTGAGGTCGCCATGGAAGAAAGCGATGCACCAGAAGAGGAAGCCGAAGAAGAGCCAGGAGACCAGGAAGGCGGCGGAGAAGATCATCAGCATGTACCGCCAGCGCGTGTCCACGCAGGTGGTGAAGATGTCAGCCATGTAGCGCTGAGATTTGTTGCTCAGGTTGGCAAAGTAGACGTTGCACTGGCCGTTCTTCTTCACAAAACGGTTGCGGTGCTTCCGCCGGGGAGCATGGCCCTTCCCGTTCCGGCTGTGCCCGTTCATGCTGCCCAGCGCAGAGACCTTGTGTCCATCCTCTTCGGTTGAAACGATGCTGTACCTGGGAAGAGAAGAAACAGGCACTTCCATCAGGAATACATGAAGGGTAAAAACAACCACTGAGACAGCAAGGGCAGGAGACGTGGGTGGCTCACAGGGCTACAGTACCACCCTGCTGGATCTCACAGCAGCGTGTTTCAGTGATTATTGCACCACAGTGCCAACCTGACCAAACTGGTGGAGATCAGCTGCAATGTTCGCTGAGTGTTGCTGCCAGGAGGTTGCATCTAGTCCTGACAGGGCAGTAAAGCAGCAGCTTGTAGCTCTGTGGTACCTTCTAGCCTTTATGGTGAGGGGGGATACAAGGCTTTGAAACCTGGGACAGCCAGGAAGCCTGGGAGCAAGCAACCACAGCCTGACCACAATTTGGCCCTCATATAATACAAGGCTGAGAGTTTCTATTTTCTCCTCTGCTCTGCTCACTGATTTCATGGTGTGTGGTGACAATGTTTATACACTTCCTGCACTCAGGACAATTCTGTTGCCACAGCAACATGTGTGTCTTCCAGCATCCCTTATCCGAAGCCAAAGGTGTAATTTGGAAATCAACAGCAAAAGCACCGACAGTTTCCTTGGCAGAAGCTACACACACACACTTTCTCGGAGACCTTTGCCCCTCCGGCTCCCTCACAGTCGGCTCTGACACTGCCCCTCATGTGATCCTGTGAAAGCTGCAGATACTCCTTAAAGATGTGGTGGCAGAAGGTGCTCTGACCACTGAGGAAATCAATAGAATGCACTGAAGCACAAAGACTGCCCCGCCCTCATGCCTGAGAAGCTGCAGCTTCACAGGACCCTGGGAGTGTCTCCCTACCACCCCACAGTGTTGATGTGTCAGCTGGAGTCCTCCAGCTGGCCTCCATCCGCATCTCACAGCAAGGACAGCACTGGTGGCTGGAGTTGCGATTCCTGGGAACGTGTGCCTTCTGCAGTGCTGCTGGAATCTGTAGTTTCTGGTCCAGCAACGTGCGTTGCTTCTCCTCCATAGTATTCCTCCAAGCACTGCCCCAATATGTGGCATGTTTTGGATTGAAGGAGGAGAGAGGAGTCATCCCTTGGAACAGGAAAGGACAGGTAATTTGAGAAGAATATATCAAAAGGGAGTCTGGAGTTAGAGTCTGAGGGGCCAGATGAAGAGGAGCAGGTCACTCAGGGCAGCAGCAGGTCTCAAGAGGAGGATTACTCACCGATTGACTCGGACACTGCCCATGGCTCGCTCTGTCATCAGATGTCAGGGGGCCGTGGGAGCTGGCAGGGCGTGGGAACTCATGCAGCAGCACTCACATGGGACTGGGCAGCTCCAGGTTTCACCTCTGGCGAGCTGGGACCAGCGCTGCCATTGCGATTGCTCCTGGGCACGCGCCTGGCAGAGAAGGACAAAGCAAAGCCCAGTCAGATCTCCCATGACACCACCCATCCCAGTCCAGAGCAGCAGGCACAGGGCTCCCAGCCTTTTGCTCAGGGTGTGCTGGGAGGTCTCCTTGGGGCACCTGCTGCAGCCTGGCTTGGGCAGGTGAGGAGCTGATGGATAGACCTGTGTGCACGGCCCGCAGACCCCCATGCTCCCGAGAACCTCCTGCCAGCAGAGGAGCAGGGCCAGCCGGTCACCGCTCTCCAGATCAAGGGCACAGCAACTGAGCAGCTCACAGGGCCCTCATCCTGAGCCATTTTATTAATATCAGAGCTTACACCAGGACAAGAGCTCAGCCAGGCTAAATACCTCTCACACAAGGACTAACAAAGCACAGGAATGCACAGCAGCCCTCAGGGATCTCTGTCAGCCCAGCCTAAGTCTGAGGGGATTTTTTTCCAGGGTGTGCAGAACATTCCCCCCCCCCCCCTTTCAAATAAAAGAAAGAAAGCAATGGGTAGAGCCCAAAAGAACTGATGGAAAGGAAGGGCTCAGGGGTAGCCAAGGAGAAGCCAGTTAGATGAAACAAACCTTGCGACATGCCGTGTGTACACCACCCAAGGAGCAGCTCAGCAGCAGAGTCCTGGGAAGATGTCCAGCAGATGTCCCAGCCCAGTTCTCCCAGAATGGAAGAATGGGGAAGCCAAAGACTCAAGACCCAGCCTATTCCACCTGCCCAGAGCTGCTGGGAAGTGAAATGCACTGAGGGGGTAATGACTCACAGATTAGGAAGGGCTTTGTACACCCATGCTAATCCTGCACTGTAGCCTTTGGATTACAGCAGCCAGTGTGGAGTGCAGATGCAGACAGAGCCAGCTAGTTTGCTTCCTCCCAGCCTCACCAATGAACAGCCACTGGTTGCCAGATATAGGAAAAAATACAAGGATTTTGGGAGCAAGTGTAAGGCTTAGAGCTGCTTGCAAGTGGTTGTGCGTGGACAGGAGAGAGGAACAGCAAATGATATTGCCTAGGATGGAAAACCTGATGAGAACCATCCTTGTCTCATCATCAGTTCCGCAAAATGGGGTGGCACAGGGGTGCCCACCAGCTTTCCCCAGTTAGAACCGCAGGCTGGAAAGAAGCAAGAAGGAAGCTCCAGACATCACATCTGATGGGATGAAGATTACTCAGTTACTGAGGTAGCTAAAGCTCTGCAGCAACACAAATATGGTTGCTCAGACCAAGGGTATTATGAGACCAGAAGAAGAAAACAAGATTGTAGTCCACAACTCACAATATAGAGACAAAAGTGAACAGCTGCCCCAAAATCCCCATCAGGAAAAAGCACTTTGACACTGAACTCTGCCAGCTCCCACCAGTTTACTGCCCGACAACATCCAAGTCTTTATGAGGTCAGTTTGGCCAGGAATTTCTGCTGTGCAACTGGGTAAACCTATAGCAGACCCTGGGGCTGGTAACCTAAGTTATCCAGAAATGGTGATGTGATGCAGAGAGGTCACTTCATACCCACAGACGGTTCTGCTGGGATAAAGCTAACTAGAGCGATTACATGGTGAGGCTGCAGGGTCCTACATGCCTTTGGGAGGTGGAAAAGGTGAGCAGTTTAGGCACACCCCTCTATGCCAGCCCCAGCCAGAAAAGAAAGGGCATCCCCTTCAACTGGCATAATTCTCAGCCAGCCTGGATATGCCAAACTCATCCTTAGCCAGCACTAACCCCGATAACACAGGGAAGGCACTGTCACAGCTCACACATATGAGTAATTCACAATTTCCTGAAAGTTTCCACAACCAACAACTCACTCTCCAGCTGCAGAAACAGGTGCATCATTTCTAGAGATTTTGGATTTCTGGCCCAGGCAGCAGCCAGCACCAAAAGAAAGGAGGGAGGACCTAAGGAGCTTTGTGAGACCATGTGCAGCAGCACCTGGATCTCTGCTCCTTACCTTTCACCCCTTTCCCAAGAGGCAAAGGAAGCAGATGAAATACAAGGGCTTTGTTCATCCCCAGTTCAGGCTGGTACAGCTGTGGGATGGGATGAGCACGCTGTGGAAGAGCTCTGCATCCTGTGGTGCTGTGCTTCCTCCTGGCTCCCACAAGGGAGCTCATGTCAGCCAGAGCTGTGGCAGAGCCTCTTGCACGGAGTCCACCATGGCTGGACCGTGCAACTCAGAGCCTGGGCAGTCTTTGCTGCTGGCTCCACAGTGCCTGAACAGAGTATCAGCAGCTAAAGCCACATCACTACCTGCAACTAGTACTTAATCACAAAGAAAGTATTTCCACAAAGGATAAAGGCTACCAGTCTGAGCACACACATTTGAGAATGGGAAAGAAAATGCTTTAATTTGCAGTAAATGTTTGCAAGTGGGAGACCGATGGCCTCAGACCGTGCACGGATCCATGGAACTCACACAGAATTGCACTCAAAGACCTCTCTCTGCTCAAAATTTAAGAATTTTTCTTGTAGATTCAAGGACCTCAGCAACAACAGGCAGCATTCCTGAGGCAGGAGCTGCCTGAGGGAGGCATCTTTGCCCATTATGAGCTCGTGGGGGTTTTGCCTGGTGAACTCTAAGTTGTGCTTCACTGCTTCCAGGCCAGTCTGTTCTCAGGTTTTCATTCTCCAGCTTGCATCTCTCCAGCTGTCCTTGGAGAATAAAGATCTTGTGCTTCAGCCTCTCCACATTTGTTTCGGCATTCAGAGCCCGCTCCTTCATTATCTGAAGACGACACTCAGTCTCCTGGACTAAGGACTGGAACTGCCCAGCTTCCCTCTCTCGTTCCACCTGGCTGGCCTTTAGCTGATCCTGCAGGCTCACCACCATGCACGCCTGTCTCTTCAAGTTGTTCTGGAAGGTGTTCAACATCCTCCTGACCATGGCATTGTCCTTCCTGAGTGCAGCATTCTCACCCTCAAGCCTGTCACACTGTTCCCTGAGCACATTGTATTCCTCCCTGAGCACGACATCCCCCTCCACGACCACAGTGCTGGCCTTCTTGAGCTCTTTGAGCGCCTGACTGAGTGCAAAGTTCTCCGACATGAGCACGAAGTTCACGTTCCTGAGCAGTTTGTTCTCTGACCTGAGCATGCCGTTTTCCTGCCAGAGAGAGTCATAGGTCGGCTGCAGGGATGGGGACTCCCTGTCCTCCCTATCCTCACTGTCCTCACCATCCTCCTCCTGCAGCACCTGGGGCTCTGCTCCCGTGGCGCTCTCTGGGTGTTCCACGTAATGGTCACTGGCATGGGCCTGTGTGGCAGTGGCCTCTGTCCCCAAGTGCTGGCCTGAGCTGTGCTGGAAAGAGTCATGGAAACCACTTGGTGCTGTATTGGTCTTTTGGAGAGCAGGCAACCTCTGATGCCCAGGAAGGTGATAGGTCAGGCTGGGCTCCTCATCTCCAGCCAAGCTGTCAGACATTCCCATGTCTTTGTAAAATGGTTCCTGAAACTCCTGATCTTCTGGCTCAAGCTCCAGCGCATGCTTGGCCAACTCCACATGCTTATCTTCCACCAAGTGCCCAGGAGTTGGGGAAAGCAGGGTGAATTCTCCCAGACACTCTGTCTGATTGTCATCTGGGCTGTCACTGTTCTTGCACAAGGGTGAAGGAAGCTCAGAATGGCTGGAGTTCTCTGATTCTTCACTGTCATCATCATCACCATCATCGTCATCATCACCTTGCAAGCCTTGAGATTCTGGGTAGACCATCATCATTAGCCCGAAGATGCGAAATGGTTCTGACATTTTTCAGGATGCTCTGGGCTGCATCAACCAGGAGAATCCAAACTGTCGTCCTGGAGTGCAGGCCATGCAGGCTGTGGACATAGACAAGCAGTGTGCCACCTTCTGCAGCCTCAGCAATGCTTGTTGTGGCCACAAAACCCCTCTGTTTAGAGCACCAGGATGTTCAGGAGGAAGTGGAGAACCACATACCTCTGCATCTCAGTGCTGGGGACAACTGGCACCACCAACATTCCAAGGTCTGTGGTGTCATCGAGTTCCATGTGTGCTGAGTTGTCAGAAGCAGGGGAGGAAGCAATCAACTGCTGTCCTGATTCTGTCTAGGACTGCGTTAATTTTCTTCATAGTAGCCAGCACAGTGTTGGATTTAGTATGAGAATGCTGATAACACAGACATGTTGGAGTTGTTGTTAAGTAGTGGCTTACTCCAAGCCAAGGAGTTTTCTGTTGCCCATGTTCTGCCACTGAGGAGCTGCAGGAGGAGCATGGCCAGAACAGCTGGTTCAAACTAGCCAAAAGGATATTCCATGCCACAAAACATCATGCCCAGAATATGACTGGGGGAGCTACCTGGAAGGGGCTGGTGACTGTTTGGGCATCAGTCATTGGGTAGTGAGTAACTGGGTTGTGCATCACTTGTTTCTCTTGGGTCCTGTTATTCTCTCTCTCTGTGCTTATTATTACTATTACTATTATTATTATTATTGATAATAATATTAATATGATTAACATATTTATTATTGTTATATTTTGTTTCAATTATTCAATTGTTCTTATCTCAACCCACAAAGTTTACCTTTTCTTTTTGATTCCCTTCCCCACTGCGGCTGGGGGCAGTGAGAGGGAGAGAGGAGCTGAGTGATATTTAAGTTGCCTGCTGGGGTCAAAGCACAGCTGCAAAAGGTGTTTTTGGCATCATGAGGATATGCTGTCCTCCTGGCTGTAGAGCTGACCCCAGCTTGGGGATGCTGCCAGTGAGCCGAGAGCAGCTCACGAAGCCACCAGTGAGACCTCCAGTGTAAAGGAGGGACAGGGATGATCCAGCCTGGGCAGGCAGCATGGGTCAGAGGGGACAACAGGGTACTGAGACATCTCCACCAGCAAGGCCAAGCCACTGGCACTTGGGTGGGGCTCACCCTGGACAGGGGCAGGAGACATCACCAGCACTTTGGCCACAGGCATCACTCTAAGCTGAACAGCCGTGAAGGGTCCATGCTGTGGTGCTGCCAATCTGATTCATCCTCTGCTGCCAGCTGGCACAGGGAAGTGTTAGTAATACCGAGTGCCACAAACTCAGAGCGGCACGAGCCAGGAGACGAACAAAAATAAACACATTTCCCACTTCCACCCCAACACACCCCCACAGCGCGTGGTGCCGCCATGGGAAGGACAGACAGGCAGGCAAGAAACGCCTGGGCTGGGGACTGCTCCACACTGGGTCACTGTCCCTCCTCAGCAGCTGGTGGACCTGGGCCACCACTGACATCCCTGCTGGCAAAATCGATGCCACCAGCTTGGCAAGGCCAGGGGCCTTACCCGGAGCTCAAAGCCTATGCAAATATAGTTCAAATGGCTGTGAAAAGGTCCCATTGCAACTTGGAAAGCTGAAACAGAAATGGAATGAAAGGGGAAGGCTCAAAGGTGTCTCCAGCAAAAGGAGATTATATTCATATCCTGAAGAGGCAGCTGCCTGTCACATGGACAAGGGGGAGGAAAGCCTGGCTGAGGACAGAGACACAAATCCAGAGCATGCCTGAGGACATTTCTTGGAGCTTGCTCTGCCTCCTAAGACCCACATGTGAAGGAGGAAGCTGCAGAGTCAGTGGTAATTCCTATGGAGTGGTTTGAAACCAAGCTGGTGGGTGCAGCAAGGAGAGATGCTAGGCAGGAGGCTGCAGCCTGGACAGATGTCTCCCCATCCCTCTGCTGCCTATCCTGGGTGTACGTGAACACCCAAGTGTTTCATGGCCTGCAGGAGCCCCCAGCACTTTTGAAAGCTGCTGCAGCATGGATGTCTTGGCCACTGCCTTGCAGCATTGAAACAGGGAGCCAGATGGGTCTCCAGCCCCAAAGCATGTGCTAACCTTCCCTCTTTCCCAGCCACTTTCCTCCTCCTGTGTCTTAGATTGAGCAATGCCAGGGACTCCACCACGGTGTTGCAGTCATCTCCTCTTTCCCGTGTGACACTGTGCTCCAGCAGCACAAGCCATCACACCAGCCCACGCTGCCACCCCAGTTCTGCTCTGGCCCTGAGCAGACACGTGGGGCTGTGCTGCTGCTGTCCCTTTCCAAGGGATCTGCAGGATAATAAGGTCGAGGAGTTTGGTGCTGGGGCAATACCTCTATTGCTCCATCCCCTGTACACAGTGCAGTGCCTCACAAGTCCCAGTCTTTCTCCAGCTCCTGCCAGAGTAGATCATATATTGTCAATCCTTCCTTAAAATTGCAATGGAAGAGTCTCATGAAACAGAACAGAAAAGTCCACGCTTAAGCACTCCCCCACTTCTCTTTTTATAACAACCATATCTGGTGCTCTGGGACATACACTGTGAACGGCAACGATGGAAAAATCCCAGGGTATTTTTACACTCTTAGTCTTTGCTTTATCTGGAGTTGTCTGGCAAATGCTTCCCTCCTGTCTGTGGTCAATACCGCAGCCGCTGGTTGCGCTCCGCTTTGTGCCTTTGTCCCTATTACCGGCTTGGATCAGCGTCCACAGACCCATCCTGCCAGCTCGGGCACGGTGACAACACGGCAGACGAACTTCTCGCCTCTTGGGGAGTCAGGGCGGAAGCACCCGCAGCTGAGAAGGGACCTCTCTGCCTTTTTGCAGAGCCTTGCAGACCCGCAGCATTCGGTGTGTCCTCCCCATCCTCTTTGTAGCTCCATCTCTCCTCCTACTCCTCACGAACATTCCCAGGGTTCATGCTGGGGCTCACAGGGCAGCTCGGTGCCGTGGGGCCCTGTCCTGCCACGAGAGTCAGCGGCCGAGCTCTCGCTGCTCCGTGCCGGCAGGGCAGGCTGCCAGGCGCTGTACGGGCACACGCGAAGGCTCAGTCACCGTGCAGGAGAGTTTTACCATATTAAAAAGGCAAGTGACATATGGAAGGTGAGGGGAGGAAGCTGTAATCAACTCTATACCATTTTTATATACACACTTCTGCCTTTTCGTTCAATAATTATAAATAGATTAAGTGCCAACAGTCCCCATCTGCCCCTCAAGGCATGATCCGCTGACCAGTTTCCCTCTCCAAAAGAGGATTTTATTCATGTGCCTCTGCCCAGTTTATATTTTGGAGTGGAGTGAGAAGGGGGGATATTTTTTCCCCCGTGAAGCTCTGGAGCCTGAGGATGGGTAATATGAAAACAAAACAAAATGATTTGAAGTTAAACCATCTCAGTGTGTGACTCAGAGCTATTCATAGCTCCCTGAAGCCAGCTGCAGCAACGGAGCCAGAAGGATTCTGCCCGTATTATTATTCCAATTACCATCTGAATTAAAAGTTTGAGCAGTGATCAACCCACATGCTGATGGGAGGGGGAGAGAAGAAAGAGAAGAGAGAAGGAGAGAAAGAGTGAGAGGGAGAAAAAACAGATTAAAAATGGGAACCACACAAAGGTCCCCAGGATGACAAAGTCAGGAAGAGGCACGGAAAGGTGACAGCATCACCTCCTGCCTGCTCCCACACCACCCCAGCGATCCCTGCTGCGGCTGCACCGTCCAGACAATGGCGCTGCAAGAACAGCTGCCTGCTCCCCAGGATCTCAGACTAGATGGGGGATACCCCATGGTGGGGTTGGTGGGACTGGCACCGGCACTCACCCACCACTCTCTGGCCAAAATGGGGCTGGGGGTACACGACACAGGGGCTGGGGGGTGACTGAGCACGATTGTAAGGAGAGGATGCTGCTGGAGTGGCAGCTGGGAAGAAGCCCCTGCTTTTTCTTGCTGAGTGAGGAAGGTGGGTGTTATTCTTTGTAGCTGGCATCACAGGAAAAATTAAATGCTCAGAAGGTCCCTGGCCTTCCCTGGGTGGTGTTCTTGGCCAAAAAGGAACCAAGTTTTTGTAGCAGCCAGGGTGCAGACTGCATCCCACCTGCTCCCAAGGAAACACAGGGGCTGACATATCCCCAGCACCCCACGTGCCAAAACCATGGACTACACCCCAAAGGGTTGGTGCAAAACCTGCAAAAGCTGAAAAACTGAAGGCTCTGGGGGTGTCCCTGAGGTCCTCAAATCCCAGGCAGATGCAGTGCACTCAAGTCACCTCCTCCAGCTTCCCAGCATAATGTTACAGTGCAAAGAGTGGCCTCACTAATCTACACATCCCTGGAACTCCCTTCACTGCCCTGTGGGAGCCCTGATGTAAGGCCATTCCCGGCAGTATCCCTGTGCCTCAGCATGTCTTCAGCACAAAGTGCCTGGCCATGTGGGGTGTCTTGATGGCTTTTGGCTAGTCAGGAGACAAGGATAATTATCGGCGTGCAGGAAAAGGGGGGCAAGGGTGGCTCACATCATCTGCCGGCCTGCTGCAGTTGTGCTCTTGACAGGGCAGGGATGAACTGCCGGTGACTCTGCCAAGCACCAAGCAAGGCAGGTGCCTGCAAATAGTTTATGAATGATGATAGCAACAGTAACAGCAGCAAGGGCAAGCAATAACCAGGGCAAAGCCTGCTCTGCACCAAGCCCCCGATCGAGAGAGGCTGCAGACACTTCTCCGCACCCAGCTGCTGCACCACAGCCGAGTTGCCAGCCCGGCCTGGCTGCTAAGCACTAGCCCATCAGTGACAGGGGAAAAAAATCCCCCTTCAGCCCCCTTGTCGCTATGCTCACAGCGAGCTGAGCAGAGCCATGAGCCTCCTGAAAGGCCCCGGCTTCTCCCCTTTCAGCCATGCCTGCTAGGCACCAAAAACAGAGCAGAGGGAGCATCCCAGGTAAGCTGCAAAACCGCATTCCCACCGAGAGCGGATCAAGTACTTCACTACAGGTTTGCCGAGTCGTA